GTCAGTGGTTTTTTGGGGGGAGGCACATCCATGGAGGGACACAAGACCTCTACTAACTGTGCAATGAAATCCTTGGACCCACTGTCAGACCCTACACTGATGCGGTGCCCCCTGGGTTCTTCCTGATGCATGACTATGCAGGCAGTTCCTGGAGGATGAAGGAGCAGGTACCAGTGACTGGCCCCCATGGTCGCCTGACCTATCTATAAGAACACCTCTGGGACATTATGTTCATGTCCATCCTCTGGCACCAGGTTGCACTTCAGAATGTTCAGGAGCTCAGTGATCCCCCAGGATACCATCCGCCAGTTCATTAGGAGGCATACAAACAAGAACATGGGGGACATAAAAACTATTAAGGACCCTTTTGAGTACCCGCAGTCATTTTTGGCAAACTGAACTAGCATGCCATATCCTTTTTTCACTTTGATTTTCAGGGTGTCTTTGAATTCAGCCCTCAGATCCATCCAACAATGTGGCATCCTTTTGTGCCCAGTCCATATGAGTCTAGATACCCAGCATGATTTTTTTTTAATTAAATTGTTCCTTTAATTTTTTTTTGAGCAGCGTAAAATGTTAATAGGGCGTTGTTTTGACGGTGGTGGTGTCTGATTATTTACATAAGACAATGGCAGTGAACCTGGAGGGGCCTTATGTGCCTAGAACCCCAGAAGATTTGCCGCTGAGTGAAAAGCTCTGTTTTGACGCACAATGGTCACTTTTGGATCCATTTCCTGTTCAGTTCAGGTATATGGTGTTCCACTGAAAAAGAAAAATCATTTTCTTATTGATGTCAGTATGATTTACAGCCAGGGGTTTGGTCACTTCAGAGATGGAATGATGACAATAACGATGTGCTGATGGGATGAACCGCGCTGCTACTCCTGTCTCTGTGTGGGCGTTGTTAAAACTCCTGAAGCGGGGAGGCAGTGCGTTTATTTACGCAGTATATTTCCCTCCTATTGGTCCGATTATAGAAGCTGTTCTGATGACACAGCCAAATCTCCAGTGATAAAAAGATAGACGCCAAGACGCGCTAGAGAAACGGGTGTCGGAGGGCGGACAGCGAGCAGTTTCATGGTAGATGTGCCTCTGCGACTCTTAACAAGGCTGGAAGTATCGGTCCGATTCCTGAGGTACACTTTTTCTTTCTCTCAAACTTTAAACTAGAGAACATTTTATTGGTAATGATAACAAATAGACGAAGGAACATAAAAAAAAACGTGCAGATACGTGCGCTCTCCGCTAACGTGATTCTCAGTTTCAGTAATTTCTTTAATTCCAGTCTGGTGAAACATTTGATGTGGTGTTTCTCTCCCCTCACTGACTCTGTGTGTGTGTGTGTGTGTGTGTGTGTGTGTGTGTGTGTGTGTGTGTGTGTGTGTGTCTGGATGTTTTTGAAGAATGGAGTGGTATGTCCTGGTGCTGATGCTGAGCTTGCCGCCCTGCATCCACACAGATTGTTCTTCACAGTGTCAGAAATGCGCGCAGCAAATCCTTAGCCCCGATGACGCTTACAGCAGCCTGGTAAGAAAGTTCAAAAGGGAAATTTAAGATGACTTCATAATCTTGTTGCTGATCCAAAATGATAGAAAATTCTTCAGTGTGTTATTCTAACTGTAATCATCTAAATCTTGGAGTTAAAAATCAGGCAAAACCATTAATAAAATCTTGGAATATGCAGTAGCCTGTGTGTATATATAGTTTTGAAATTTCCCGTTTGACTGGATAGTAAGGCGCAGCCGCCGAGCTTTACCACAAACATAACTCACAAGTGGGAAATGTAACGTGCGTTCAGGTATAGTGCGCCCTGCTGATGTCCCCTGGTTTCCCGATCTTGTCTGTGTCCTGCAGTCGTGCAGCGCCGATTGTGAGGGCCAGCTGGAGAGCTGCAGCCAGGCTCCGCGGTTGGCCGACTTCAGCCAAGATGAGACTGCGGAGGAGGAGGAGAGCCAGCAGGCAGATCTGGTCAAACGCTACGGCGGCTTCATCAAGAGGATCGACAAGAACAAGAACAAAATATTCTCCTCTCCGTGGCGCGACAATTACATCCTGAAAGGTGCCTCGCTGCCCAAGAAATATGAGCTTTTTTTGAAGAAGCTGGAAGATAGAGACGCAGATACAGCGGAGCAGGCAGACGACACTCCAGAGGATCACATCCTCCGTGGTTATGTTAAACGTTACGGCGGCTTTTTACGGAAATTCGGTCCAAAGTCAAAGAGAAGTAGCTCCGTGGAGCAGGAGGAGCAGGAGCCCGAGGAGCTGCAGAAGCGCTACGGAGGCTTCATGAGGAGAGTCCGACCAAAGTTGAACAACCTGAAGTGGGACAAGCGCTACGGAGGGTTTCTGCGCCGTCACTTCAAAATCTCTATGCGCTCAGTGGAGGAGCCCTATTTCTCCTATGACGAGCTGACCCTATAGACACAGTCGTAGGAGAACTCAAAGGAACTTGCACAGGTTTACTTGAAATGCCATAATTGAAGTATCATATGCCTGCTGAGCTCGCCTAGATTCGGCTGCCTTCTGTGTAACATTTGTGTAATTTGCATCATCGCCTTTCCTTCAATAAATGCTTGTTTAATAAAATCATAAATAAATTCACCCTCTTTTTAAATGTATTTGATTTTTTGCACACAGGACGATATGGCGCGGTGTTCGCTTTGAGGGCGATTTAACAATTTTACGTTGTTGTTTCTCTTGTTGCGGCAGTTGTTTGCACTCTCAGGCTGGTTGTTTTTGTCCTCATTTTGAATTTCCCAGTAAAACGATGTAGGGTTTGTGTCAATGTTCCCGTTTTATTATTCAAAATAATACTTGACATAATAGATACTTACGTTAATTTTTAAAAACAATATATATAATTAATATTAACAAACAATGAAAATAATTCTGTTTACTTCTAACGACACCAAAAATCAAGGCCAACTCATCAGTCCGCTGCTGTCTGCGGACTGTACTTTGACACTTTACAGAATCTAAATGCCAACTAAATTTTACACAACCTGAATATTTATTATTATTATATTAGGTTATTATTATTGTTGTTGTTGTTGTTACACATTTTCCCAAGTTTTCCAAAATATAGATAAGCAGTTTTACAGGATGAATATAACAGGAGCGCAGATGCCAAGAATTTGATCCTGAGACAGAAAACTGATGAATCTGTGAAGTCATTAAAACAGGATGCTGTTGCGCCACGGTGTGGGCAAGAGTCAGAAGTCTTCCCCCAGAACAGGAGTTAAAGCACTTTAATAATAAAGGCGTCATTCACGATGAATGAATGTGTATGAATTAGCTCATTTCTGCACCACAGGAGAATATGCAGATTTTATTAATTCCTTTTCTTATTATAAAGAAAAAAAGCAGAAGAAAAAAATAGAAATAGACTCGTTTGACATTTTTCTATTCTTACTGAACAAATTATTTACACTACCAGCTTTAGCATATCTCCTTCACTGTATAATTCTCATGTACATGGCTAATTTACAATGACAAGTTGAACTAAACAGCTGTGGGATGAAGCCAGGAGTGTCTGTAGGAAACCCACAAAGGTACAGGAAAAATCCACAGAAAAGGGGTTCAGCTGATCAGGAGGTTCAAAACCTTTTTTCCTGAGAGGAACTAACCGAACCCCACTGACTGCATGTCTTTGGACTGTGGGAGGAAGCCAGAGTGCCCGGAGATAACAGGGGGAGAAAGGTGGAGTCACACTCAGGATCTTTTTACTGTGAGGCAACAGTGCGACCCACCAGGCCACCTGCTGCCCATGTAAAAAGATACGCAGACAAATGATCAAACAAAGACTAGACAAAGATAACCCGCTTCTCGTCCTGTGGTAGCTGGGAAATGTTTTAGCCCTCCTGTGACTCTGATAGGTGATTGGATGGACAAAGTAACTGACATGTGCCATCCTGGAAAGCATCACAAAGCCATTTGTACAGATTTGGAGCTCCAGCAAACTTTAGTGAGATTCATTTGTGGTTCACCAATCTCACAGATGGAGAAAACTTGGAACAGTGGTGAAACTTCCCAGGAGTGGCTGTTCTACCAAAATTACTCTGAGTGCATAGACAAATCATCTGGGAGGTTATAAAACAAGCCAGAACAACATCTAAAGAACTGCAGGTATCACTTGGCCCAGTGGAGGTCAGAGTTCATGATCCAACAGAAAGAAAGAGACTGGACAAAAATGGCATCCTGGAGAGTTCCACGATAAAAATCACAGTTGGCCAAAGAGCATCCTGATGATCCAAGACTTTAGGGAAAATATCCTGTGCACCAATGAGAAGGTTTGAGTCCCATTTATACTATACTAACCGGTCAAACATGGTACTGGTAGTGTGATAGTCTGGGGTCGCTTTGCTGCTTCAGCTCCTGGATGACTTTCTGTAACTGATAACAGTGAATTCTGCTCTTGATCAGAAAAAGTCCAGCCATCAGTTTGTACCCTGGAGCTCGAGCACATTTGTGTTATGCAGCACGTCCACCTCTGAATGCCAAAAAAAACAAAAGTTTTACACTGCTTTAATCAAAACTCAGACTTGCATCAGAATCAGAGAAACTTTATTAACCCCAGAGGGAAAGTGAATAAATTGCATGACCTTAAACAAGTGATTCATGAAAGAAACCCTTCAGTGTGGATGAATTAGAACAATTCTGCAAAGAAAAACAGACCAATGTTGCTCCACAGTAATGTGAATGACTCAGTGCCAGTCATTTAGTTGATTGCTCTGTCAAGGGTAACACAACCAGCTCTTGGGTTTACAGTGCAATTACTTTTTTCTCATAACAGAAGACTATTTTCTAATATTAACATTTGTTCTGACTTGAAATATGTAAGTGTGCAAATGCAAAAACTAAAGAACCTGCTGCAGATCTCTTCTAGTTAAGAGTTCTTCCACCAACCATCCGATGACTGGGGCTCGTGTCCAAGCTTGGAATGACTGCTGTAATCTGCTGCTTTGCTTATAAAGCTGAAGGATTTACTCATAAACGTCATGTTCTGGGGGAGAATAAAGCTTTTAATGCAAAGTAGGGTCACAAAACTTTAATGCAACAAGAGTAACAATCAATTAAATACCTGCACATTTGCTTTCCTCAATGTGAAGTATAAATAACACAATTTTTTTGTAATTTACATTTTAATGCTGAGTTCATGATACATACTCCAGCCAGCATAAGTCATGTACTGGTTAAGCTTCACATAAATGTTTTTTTACCCCATTTTAAAGTGTTCTCCTGACCACACCCAGTGTCCCAAAGCATCCCAAGAACAGGAGGTGGAGCAGGTCATCTACTGGAAGGTTGGTGGAGCTAAATCCCAACATGCTATCGGATGCATGTGTCAGAGGATGAATGTTAGACAGAAAAGCATAAAGCATGTTGTACAAAGTGCTTTGAGTTTTCAAGTAGAATAGAAAAGAACGACATAAGACCCAGTACATTAACAGTGTTTTATAATCCAAGTGAATTTAGAATCTATGAAGCCAGTAACATCACAGCAAACAGTCGTCCAAGGTCGGGACAATTCAAAAATCCCTTCACTCTTTTTTATAAAAATACGTTTTACAAAAATCCTCAAGTCCTGAACTTTTCTTTAAAAAAAACAAGCATTTATTATCAAACTAAACAATCTTCCTGTGTGGAATAAACAGACAGACGTGATACATATTTTATTACAGATGAAATATACAGTCACAACACCTGTTCAGTTTCTAATGGAGATCTATGGATGTCTTGAAATGCATGAAATGGTGTGGAAAAGTCAAAGGGTTCATAGGCCTTCACCTCCACCTTCAGTCCACTCCAAACTGAAACCAATCAGAAGCCAGCCGAGGGAGCAAACAGCCAGGCTGTATTTCACTGCTGCTGGTTCCCGTCTTCCTCTTTAACCTGCTCTGGCTGACCTTTATCATCATCATCTAGCTGGTTTGCCTCCTCGGAATCGTCGGCAGTGGCTGCCAAGGCGTCGACAACACTGATGGTGCCAACCTGCTGTTGGACAGCGGCGCCCTGTGTGGTGGCCAGACCCTGCAGCGTCACCAGCTGGAACTGAGGTCCCACCAACTTAACAAAGGCCCCGGAGGCTGCTTGGCTGCTGGCCCCAGCTGCCCCTTCCTGACCGGCAGCGGTGGACAAAACTGTCAAGTTAGAGCCATCAGCTGAAAGCTCTGACCCAGAGAGCGAGGAGGTCAGGAGGGTGTACGCGCCAACATTGGTGCTGGGCTGGGCTCCTGCCACGGTCAGCACCTTCCCCAGTGGGAGGCTGGTCAGCTGGCTAAGAGGCAGGGTGATCTGGGTGGGTGCAGCATTGACTGAGGCAGGACCGGAGACAGCACGCGTCAGCCGGGGACGCTTGGGCCCGGGAGGCGCAGGCACCGGCGTGAGGGTCATCAGGACGTTGTTGAGGTGCTGCGATTTGCTCTTCAGCTCCTTGGCTCGCTTCCTGTGCTCATCACACTGCTGCTCCAGGGCTACAGGGGGAGACAGTGAAGTACCACAAGATTGCTGTTACTCCTTCATGCAGAATGCAGTCATTTCTACAAAGTTACACAAATCACAAGCACAAGAAAGACCACTTAGGATTCTGCACTGACCGGCTAAGCTGCGAGTGTACTGCTCTCTGTAACGGTCCATCTGGCTCTTGTGACTTGCCAGAACCTTTTTCACAAGGTCCAGCATTCCAAAGTTCTGCACTATGTTGTTGAGTAAAACAGCATCTGAGAAACAGAGCAGTCACGCTGCGTCATTTCACGATCTGTATTTTTATTAGTTGTCTGTGGCATGTGACTAACCGACCTACACCTGTGTGTGTTTCTAACCTTTGACCTGCAGCGGTGGGTCACACACTCTCTCCTGCAGCCCCTTCAGCACCTCCTGCAGCTCATTCTGGAAGTCCTCTACCACCTCTTCCAGCAGCCCTGCCTCCTTCACCGCACGCCAGAACGCAATGGAGTCCTCTGTGTACACAAACACACACATCAATAACATGATTACCTCTCTGAGTCAAGTGACTCCACTTGATGATGTCTGTGTGTATGTAGGTTGTTGATCACCTCCAATGGCTGTGACCCAGCCTGAAGCTTCCTCCATCACCTCTGGAAAAGATGCTGCAGCTCCATTCACTACAACAGAGACGGCACACGTGGTTGCAGTGCAGACTGTGGTGCTGGTTCAGAAGCTCCACTCATCTGTGCTGCGCGTTGGCTTCACTTTATATTTATTTATAACAATGACGTACTCCTGGATGCAAAGTCACTCACACTGTGACTGAATTACTGCCAAATGGGATTTTTCACAGGTAACATGTTTTCCCAGTCTTCACTAAAACTAGCTTGGAAATAACAAGTCAGGTTTTCTGTTTGCCTGTGACTATACTGCTGGATGAAGGTTTTAAAAAGCTCTTAAAACTGTGCTCACACTCATACATGGGGCCAAAGCCGAACCTAAAATCTGTGTTGGCAGCATTACATTAAGTGAGGCTAATGCAAAAGATTACTGATTAATCTTCATGATTCTGACCTCATCGTGTTTGCAAACCTGCACACGGAGATGTAACGCACTCCTCTGCAAAGTTATTTTTGTTTTCAGTATAGTGTACAGAATTTGTTAATTTTTACTGTTTAAAAGTGTTTATTTTTGCTTCATCACAGTCATTATTTTTATGTAGTGTATTTGATTTGCACCAAATCATTTTGTAAAAGGACTTACAATCAGCTGATGAAGGCGTGGCAGGAATCACATCGTCTGATGAATCAGTGCTGATGGACACTTTAGTTCCCACCAGGTCTATTTTAGTACTGCGGCAGGTGTTGGAGCAGACCTTTGTGTGGTGATAGAAGTCCAGTTCACCAGAGTCCATGATCTTCCTGTGAAATTAAATATGATGAAAGGCTGTTAGGCACAATTTGCTGTAACTGTCTATCATGTCTGACAGAAGAGTGCCATCGTGACGCAAAACATGCTGAAAATAAGTTACAATGCAAACCAAAGGCCAAAAGAATATCTAGGGAAGAGTTTAAGTATAGACAATAAATAAATAACCAGAGAACGTGGGATTCTCTACAAGTTTATGAATAAATTAAATGCAAACAGGGGAGGGAAGAAGATATGCACACAAAAAAAGGGAAATTTAAACAATTTAAATTACTAGTTTGAATGAAAAAGTTCTTTTTTAATGCATCGCACCCGAGACTGTGAGACCACCAGGCCCTCTACTGGTTGCTGTCGGGAACAACAAGCCGACTTGTCTCTTTTTTCACTCGTAAAATCTCAAGATATCTACCGTCAACTTAACTCTGCAGGAGCGTCTGACTCTGAAGTAGACTTCCTGTTTCCCCCACTGTTTCCTCACAGTTATTTTCAAGCTTTACTCTTCCCTCCATAACTGATGTATCTAATCTTATTTAAAAAATCTACATCGTTCACCTGTCACCTTGACCCTCTTCCACTGTGTTAGTTAAAGCCTGTCTTCTGGATTACCAATGACCTTCTGATGGCAGCTGATTCTGGTCTCCTATATATCCTCATTCTTCTTGACAGCGTTTGATACCATTTCTCACAATATCCCCACATACCACGCCCCTCCCCCCCTGCTTGGATAGCCTCGTATCTCTCAGACCGCACTCAGTTTATCCAATTTAAATCACGCTCTTCAAGTCTCTATCCTGTTTCTGCTGGTGTGCCCCAGGGTTCAGTATTAGGGCCTCTTTTATTCATTATTTACATGCTCTCTCTTGGACATATATTCTGAAAATATAATATACATTTTCCCTGTTATGCTGATGACACCCAGCTCTACATTTATTCTAAACCCAATTCATCCCTCCCACCTACCTCCCTCTCAAACTGTCTCATCGAGATTAGATCCTGGTTCTCCTCCAATTTTCTTAAACTTAACAGTAATAAAACTGAAGTTTTACTCATTGGCACGGCCTCTATTAACCAAATCCCACAGTTTTTCCATTAACATTGAACATTCTCCCACCCTTCCCTCCCCTCAGGTTAAGTTTGGGTGTCATACTTGATAATACTCTTTCATTCCAGTCTCACATTAATTACATAACCCGGTCTGCTTACTTCCACTTACATAATATTAAGCGACTCCGCCCCTTCCCTCCTACCCATGCTGCTGCCATCCTTGTCCATAGTCTTATTACGTCCCGTACTGATTACTGCAATTCCCTCTTATTTGGTCTCCCTAAAAGGTCCCTTCATAAACTCCAACTTCTAATTTGTACTCCGTCAAGAGCTCATATTACCCCAGTTCTTCAGCAGCTTCACTGGTTGCCCATAGAAGGATAAACTTTAAAATCGTACTTCTCACGTACAAGTGTATCCATAAATCTGCTCCTTCCTATTTGTGTGACCTGCTCCATATCACCACTGTTTCCCGCCCTCTCAGATCCTCATCTGCTATTCATCTTACTGTTCCGTCCTCACGTCTGATCACTCCGGGGAACAGAGCCTTCAGCTCTGCTCCTCGGCTCTGGAACTCTCTTCCTCCAGCCATTAGAAATATAAGCTCTCTTCCTGTATTTAAGTCACAGCTCCAAACTCATCTGTTCAAACTGGCTTATTCGCGTTAGTGCTGATTTTATCTGTTGTCAAGTTCTGTTTTGCAATTTTAACTTATTTTATGTATTTTATGACTATTGCTCCTTTTATTAATGTTGTTCTTTGTAAGGTGACCTTAGCTTTTTAAAGGCACCCTCAAATAAAGTCTATTATTATTATTATTTTTATTATTATTATTAAAGTCAAAGTTTTGCAGAAGAAATGATGATGTTAAAGGTGGAGTAAAGAGACTTAGCCTTTGTATGGGTTGAACCCAGTTATGAGAGTGAGAGGAAGTTTAAGCCGCTCAGTGATGCCACATGATTTCAAGCAGCATTCATTTTACCTAAATACTCTCATATTACACCTGAGACAAACTCATCATATTACAGCCCACGCTGGAAGGAATTATATGATGGCTAACTTGTGTGAAAGATTTTAAATATCGGGGGGAAATCGAGCCATCAGGCCAGATCCTGGCTGGATCTTTCATATGTAAGCGTCAACATGTCCGACCAGTGGGTGTGTTGAGATTCAAACCTGTGCACAATTTTTAGTGAAATCACCTATGCCGTCAATTTGAAGCTCCTACGTCGCCTCGTTTTCCAATTACTGCATTCACAAACTTAGGTGTCCACGGCACCCGCCCGCCCAGCGAGGTGACAACAGTACAAAAGGCTGATTTGAGATCGCAAACTAACACACAATGTAACACGATCAAGTCTGATGAAGGCAGCTATAAGAAGTCCTGCACACAAGCACTCTGAAAAGGTTAAATACTGGATTCTCTCAAATTACATTGTGTTGAAAAACATACTGCACAGTGGGGTTTGTATCCACTACAGTTACTGTCTATTAATAACAAGTCCAGACCTGAGCATGGTGCCATTGAGTCGGATAGCTCTCTTCCAGTCCTTCAGAGTGGATTTCCCTGCTAAACACACAAACTCCTTTGGGCTGATGAGCTGCTCATTGAACTGATCAGAGGGGAAAGAAAAACAAGTCAGTGTAGATTCAGGACAAGCTAAGTGCTTTAAAAACGACTGTGTACCTGGACACATTTCACATTTATCCCAGGGCAGACGAATTTCTTCCAGATCAGAGTGGCTTTGACGTCTCCACATGTGATTGGGTAGAACACGTCAGCTTCCACATCCACCTCTTCACTTAATTTCACTGCAAAGACAGAGATGCACACATCTTCATAAGGACACTGAGTAAACTGTAAAGTAAACCATCACTTACACGTTCTTTTATTTACTTCTGAAAAATTCAGAAGAGTGAAAAATGGCACGGCAGTTTATTCTTTACAGAAAATTATGCAAACAAAGTTGAAAACAAGAAAAATAAATCCAGCTGAAGCTAATAAAGAAAAGTTCAGTTCAAATTACCAATGACTGCGTCTTCCTTTGCCAGTGAATCTGCTCTGATGGCCTCTGCTTCCATTGGTGCTACTGTGAGGACATTCTCCCTGAGGGGGGAAAAAACAGCAAACTTCTGCATATCAGTACATCTGCTGTACGTGATTTCATGTACAATATGTTATTTTCTATATATATGACTGTCAAGTAACTGGAGTTGGCAGACCACCTACAGTATTTCTGTTCTTTATGTAGCTATTCTGCATCTTATTACAGTTGTTTGAGTTTATTTCTAATGTTGTATCTCTCTCACTTTGTATGACAGTCATTTTATTTTATTTATTTTCCATTTTTGTACATGTTGAGTGATTTTACATTTCTTTGTTTGTGTCATTTCTTTGTAACGTGCACTTTTGCATATTTTTATTTTGTGTTTTTGTTGACATCTTGCTCATCTTTGGACCTGTTTGTGTCTCTGTATCTCTTTATAGCAGTTTTGCATTTCTATCTCACTATTACTCATCTTATATCTTTCAGTAAATTTGCCCCTTCACATTTATTTTACATTTTGACCACAAGGCCATGTGCAGTGAGTATGTGTTACCCGGTCTGAGGGGTCAACTCTGCAGTCACCAGCACTGCTTTATCCTCCTCTGCCACAGAGGGGAGGTCCTCGCTCCCCGACTCCGGTATGGTGACGATCACAACCTCATTCATTTCCTGCATGTTTACCTCTGATGAAGCCATGAAGACTCGGAGGAGCTCACCTACAGCCAGGTGACAGCAGGGGGTGGACAGATGTTACTGATTGTATAATGTTGTAAAAGATTTAGTAATTAGAATAAATGATCTCCTGACTATAGCAAAAACACACCATAGTTCAGAGAAGGGTGGGAATGTGCGGAATTATTCCAGTAATACTGGGAATGACTGCAGAGCGTCCGTAACTGTATACGGGGGCTAAATGGCTGCTAGCTGTAGTAAACAATGACAGCATCTAGTGTGTACTTTGTCTACACTGAAAAACTACAGGAGACATCACTGTTTTGTGACGGAATTAAATTGTTGGGGTTTGAATTTGTTTGCAACAAACTAACTAACATATTGAAATGAACTGAACGTGTTTGCTTTCTTGGCCTGATCGAACAGAATGTAACGACGCTCCCGCAGATTAGAGTATTATAGAGGGAGCTGAATAAGCTTACCTTGGCCTTGGGACGTAATGTTGAAAACGGTGTGTTGGTGTCGTCCCGACAGAAAGGATGCTATCTAGTAAATCTGAACCTATTCCAGTAAATTACTGTCAAAATATAAAGCTGCTGATATCCGTCTCTTTTCGTCTTCATACAGAACACTGTCGCTCTATTTTTAAGATTTCTGAAGCCTAAATTTGAAAACAAATACAATTAAGATTTCCTGCTCGTACCCAGCTAGCATGAATAGTTTTCTGTATAGTTCTTCTTCGTCTGTTATTTTTCTTGGTGGTTGGCGCTCCCAGATGGTACATTACTGCCCTCGATTGGTGTGGAGGCTGAAATGCCACAAAATACAAAAAACAGAAGCTACCTAACAAATTAGGCTGTCTTAAAAATGAAATATAGCCTGATAGTTTTCACGTCTTCAGTTCTTTATAAATAAATCAATAAGGTACAGTTTCATTTCCGTTTTTGGATCAGTTGTCTATGCATACCCTCATATTTCCAGCATTGCAATAAAACATGTTCTATTGTTCTCCACTGCAGACACATTTTCCTGTGTGGTATTTTTCTGTTTAGTCTAAGTCCAGATATGACTGTCTCCTCTCTGCTGTTCTTTCTTGTGCTTCTCGTTTCTCTGTTTTCCTTTGAATTTTGTAAAAGCACTGTCCCTTCATATCTTCCTTTCAGTGCTTTCACCATCTTTCCTATATTCCTTGTCGTGTTATGCCCTTCATCCTTGTCCTAACAGAGTCTGTTTGGCGAGATCAGCTGAAAGACTCTTTGTGGTTTCCTTTGCTGTCCTATCAGCCATTTCAAGTCTTTTAACTTCACAACTTGTGCAGAATGTCCTGTTGCTGTCCAAATGTCTGTGTGTGTGTGTGTGTGTGTGTGT